GTATATAGTAGTTGTAACAGGAAATACTATCTTTAGTGTTAAACTATGTCTACAGATCAAAATGTTAACTTTAACCAAAGAGAAATGCTTCCAGTGGTTGAAAGAAAACAATGAAAACTTAATTCTCCGCATCTTAGAAGACGAGCTTGAGTTATATATATTACTCTTAGACTCTTTTCTGTAAACAAAAATTTGATAGTCTTTGTTTGTCGACTTTAGACGCACATTTCTTGATGCAAACTCGAAAAATTACCCATGCCTTCATAGACGTCAGAGTATACATAATAAAAACTAAAGCTGATTAGTGCAGCCTCTTGGGAGCTGAAATTTTAAATTCATATGTTTCTCCTAAACTATGATACCTAACTGCTAGTGGTATTCTGGAATGGTAAAAATTAGTGAATGGGTTGACTATTTTTCGAAAATTTGAAGAAAACTTTCAAAATTTCTAAAAGAAGTCGTAAACTAGAACGAAAAAAAAATTTTTTGAATATTCTAGAAGATGAAGAAATCAAGCCCTTCCTCCTGTACTACTTGGAATCTCTCTGCTAGCCACATATTACAAACTCATTGGTAAGGTCTGTAGTCCTGGATGGGAAAGGGAAGATGCCGAAACTCGAACTGAAAACGTACACTTAATATTGTCTTCGAAAATATATGAGAGTTTCACAAAAGTTGTACGAAACTTTTGTTATGTACGGTATGCCTATGAGAAGAAAAATCTAAGGTTAACTAGTAAGGTGTAGTTGATCCTGATACAGGAAAGAAGAGCCTCAATCAAGAAACGACCAGCATTGTTGCAAAAAAGAAAAGCGTATCTAGCACAATTATAACATACGGTTTAAATCACAAGAAACAATTATGTAAAACATGCTTCAAAAATTAGGAAACTTCTTCTATGTTCGTAGCTCCTTCGTAAACTACTAATCATTTCACAATTCTCATGAGTGAAAACAGGGTCAAACTAAATTCATTATTATGTTATTCATCATAGTACCGAACTTTGATAGGAATAGATATATTTGAATTTAGATAGACTAAATATAAGTAATATATTCTTAGTTACCGTGAAATAATATTTGAAAACGATCGAAGTAGAAAAAGAATCAGTAAATATACTAACTGTATATTCAAATGAATGACAAAAGACTAAAATTTATATGATAAAAAAAATGTATTTGTCATTCACTTTTGTTATAGTGATCATTCATCCATAGATTTCTATTCTTTTACTTTAGTATACAAACGAAATGACAAATAGAAGAAAAACGTAAGCAATACTTTTTCTCGTCTTACACATAAAATAATCACTGAATTAATACATAGAAAGAAAATAAAAATAAAAAATACATTCATATACTCTCTTAGACTAACGAAACACGTGTAGGTGAATAAATACAAGAAGATATGTAAATAGGTGTTTGGTTTTTTCTCCTTCATGTACACATGGCTTCTTGATATTTGCAAACGTATGAAGAGAGTATGAGCGACATAAGTAGAGATAATCTTAAGGGTAAGAGTCAGAGGTTTCTTGATGTTTAAATTCAGAAAGTCATCAATTAGGTTTTTTAGATACAATAATAATCATTATAGGTACAACTAATGTTGAATTGCTATTTCTCAATAATATGTTAGTTTGTTTTTTTTTGTCTTGTTTTTGAAATTTATTTTTTATTTTATTGATAGGAAATGCTAAAATGATAAGAATACAGAAGTCGAGCAAAAAGTAATCATTTAAATCTTAAGAAAATAATTTTAATTAGAGATTTTTTAAATTAATCATTATCAAGTGATTTTCAAAAAAATTAACTCAGTTAGATGATGTATGACTGATACTTTTGCAAACGATGTACTAAATAAAGTAATAGAGTATTAATTTACATATGAAAACTATTGAAAGTAAATCATAAGATATATTCTGAACAATTTCTCAAACAGTTATTAATGTATAGAATTTACTACTACAAAAAATACGGATTGGTGAGCAATGTCAATTTATAGATACAATACAATCAAACTTGACAAAATGCATTGCAACTAGATATATTAAATCTTGTCAATAACGCATACTTTAATGAATATTATGTCAATTTTTCCCATTATATGCTTATTATTAGATATCAAAAAGAAGACAAGTAATAAAAGTTTCGTATAATGTGACATTAAAATATAGTCTCAACTATTTGATTACAAATGAGAATTACTCATGAAATGCTGTTGATAGGAGCAGTCCAATCAACAGAACACTAATGTTTGTATTCCCTATTAAAGCTTATCGATTGGTACGATCATATAAGAAGACACAAGGTTAAGGACGTCATATGATGCGTTTTGACTGTCATCTATAAAGTCTTAATTGGCATTTTAAAAGTCTATCATCACCTTTGAATAATAATGGTCTATGCAGACGTGTTGTCAAGATCCTAGAGCATCTTCAGTTAAGAAGATGTACTTTGAGTCGGAATATCAAAAACATTTCCACAGTTGTTTGAAATACCAACGTTGTGTTTTAAATATAAGATATATTCCTTCCACTAACATGAGTACATTACACTAATTTTTTTTTCGTTCTGTTTGATATATCGGGTGGTCCAGATTAAATTGCCGGTTTTTATATTTTATTTTTTTCACCATTTAGTACGTTTTATTAAAAAATAAAATATACCACAAGATTCACTGAGAAAAGCTCTACAAGGTAAACCTTAGTTTAATTATGTTGGTTTTGTTCTCAAAAAAAAAAAAGCAAAATTCTATGCGACCAATATTCGACACTGCGAAAAATCATTCTTTCGAGACGAATAAGAAATTCTTGTTTCTTATTTAAATAAACTATTCTTTGTAAATTGTAGAGCTTTTCACACTGCATCTTGTGATATATTTTGTTTTTTTAATAAAATGTACTAAATGGTGAAAAAATAAAATACAAAAGCCGACAATTTAATTTGGACCACCCGATACATATGAGATATAGCAAAAATAATTTACAGAAAATATGAAAGTGATTTGATAGAGAAAGTTGAGACTTTTTCTCGGAATGGTTATACATTATTTATTTAACTTTAAATGAGAGTAACTATTTTTGATAAAATAACTCATCACAGAGTGCATAGGATCGTAATATCAGTTATTTTAGATAGGTTCAGCAAAAAATAATGTTCAAGGACATATGAAAAAATCCGTATGTCATTCTAGTGTCAAAAAAGATGCTCGCGTCAAATTCTACAAATCTATCATATTCTGTAAGAAACTACTCAAAACTAAAATTTTCATCACAAATCAAATTTTGGTGAAAAACTGGATATTTTATAAGCGGTTAAACTTCTTTTAACTATAATCGATCCAGAAAGAAGATTAATACAACCTTAGAATGCTTTTAGCATGCAAATATTACAAACTAATTTTATTATACATTTAACTTTCAGAATGGATACGAGGTGTGTGTATGAGAGTCACTTTGATCGTTTCATATTCATACACACATCCATACCTACACCTTCTCAGTTCTAATAAATTCATATTAAATATTGCTTTGAAAATTATTAAACAGCATTGAAGCGTACCTCAAAATTAAATCATTCTGAAATTGTGAAATAAAAAGTTGTTAGCACAATCTCTGTGAAATTGAAATGTAAAATACAATGTAGCTATTTTCACTAATCCGCACGATATATGGTTTTCTTCGATATACCTTGACACCTATTTATTCATCATTTTTCACTTAATCCTTTAAAATTGCAACAAGAAAGCAGTTGAAAATATTCTCATGAGATTCTAGTGATCTATAATCGTGAGTCATGTATCAAAAGGTTTGCTGCGGTTTGTAATGGTCTCTGGAGTCCCTCCGTCATGGTGTAGGGGGAAGAAGTGCAAATAACTACTCTATATATTTCAACATTCCTTTTTAGAGTGTGTTTCACGAAAGTACTGTCAAAACCGTTCTTTATGACGTTTCATGTCATCAAGATAACAACCAACAATCGAACTTATTAATGTCAGACTCGCCTTCACCGGAACACTGCAGTATATTTTTTTTTCATACGATTCTATTAATCAAGTAGTTCACATTCCATGAGTGTCAATGTCTGAAAATACATTAGAGGAATTGAAATAAGTGACAAAGAGGATACAGATTTTTCGTGATCCAACTTCAATCCATATTGAGGATTCGTCATAGGTTAAGAATGATCGAAACACACACTCCTGAACAAAAGTAATCCCTGCCTCCCCTTGCACTAGCATTATTTTTTATCATATAGAGCTGATGTTCTAGATGCAGACTAGGCCCAATGAATCCTGATATCAAATCGGTTAAGATACATTGAGGTTATCAGATTCACAACATCATCTCATTGTGAAAGTTTTATCTCAATCATTTTTTGATATTTGTGTTCATGCAACCCCTCGTTTCAAGAGTGTAGTGTGACCCACACTGTCACCCACTCGTGTATCTGCGAAGTCGAATGAATCAGAGAAGTTGTTGCTCATGAGAAATATTTTTCTCTCCGAGGTAAAGAACTGAATAAAATAAAATGAAAAGTAATTAAGAATTCTTTACAAAAAGAAAAAGAATGTTCTGAAAGTTGAAAGATTAAGTACGTATTTGAGCTGCACTTGTTAGAAATCAAATTTTAATTAAAAAGTTTTGTTTTTTCTAAAGATAAAACTTAAATATTAATTCTACAGAAGATTGTTGACATAAGAGCAAAACAACTTCGGATGTAGCCTATTCGTTCGATCTGTTGAAAGGAAATATTTATTTAACTAATGAAAAAATTGAATACAAAATCATAAAAAAATTTGTTCTTTCTATTGCTTTTTATATAAAAAAACAAGCAAACTATTCATTATAAAATGAATATTCAATATACAACAATTCGTTTATGATCAATTGTATATTTTTGATCACATCATTCATAAGTATTATTAATTTATCTTTGATTCAAATCTGATAAAAATTGAATTAATTTCGATATTTTTCTAAATAGTCGAATAAAATAAATATGAAATTAATAGAATTTGTAATACATAGTTTATTAATCCTAAATAAATTATTCTTAATCAATGGATTACCATCAATAATATGTCCATCTTCAATAGAACTTCATGATACATCAAATCCAACAACAGTTGTTGGTAATGGAACATTATCATCATGTAATGAAATAAATTTAGCAATTGCATTAAATCATGGTGGAATAATAACATTTAATTGTAGTTTAAATGGTCAATCAGTAACAATTGATATTCAGAATCAATTAGATATTTCAAATACAACTGATACAATTATTGATGATAATGATATAATTACCTTAAATGGTTTAGGTTTAACAAGAATTTTAAAATTTAATCGAAATGATTTTCGTTATTCTACACCAATGTTAACAGTTCAACGTTTAAGATTTATAAACGGTTATTGTCAAGATCTTGATGGTGGTTGTGCAATATTTCAATCACTTGGAGGTTCAACAATTGTTATTAATTCTATATTTGAAAATAATACAGGACCTATTGTTGGACAAGATGTTGCTGGTGGTGCTATTTGGACAATTGGTGGTGGAACAACAACTATTATTAGAAGTATTTTTTTAGAAAATAAATGTTCAAATGGTGGTGGACTTGGAATTCTTGGAAGTGGTCTAATTATTATTAATTCATATTTTGAAGGAAATCAAGCAACTGGAAATGGAGGTAATCCAGGAAATGGTGGAAATGGTGGTGCTATTAGTTTTGATGGTTTAGGAAGAAATAATTCAATTTGTGGAACAAGATTTACAAAAAATCAAGGAAATAAATATGGTGGAGCATTTTTTCGTGTTGCTTATAATGGAAGTGAAAGAAATGATTTTGAACAAATTATTGTTGATAATAATTGGATATCACAATCTGGTAATGGTTTAGCTGGTGGTTTATATATTCAAGGTAGTATGATAACAATTAAATATGCAACTATTATTAATAATTCAGCTGAAGGTGGTGGTGGAATTTTTTTTGCTAATAAAAAATTAGTTATATTAGATTCAGTTCATTTAATAGATAATCAAGCTTATGGTGGATTAGGTGCTGCTATTTTTTGTTCAAATCCTGTTTCAGGAATATTTACAAATCTTGTTGTAGCTAATAATCATGCTGGAGCTTTTGCTGCTGCTTTTGCTTCTTGTTCAACAACAATAACACTTTCAAATACAATTATTGCAAATAATACTGTTGGAAATCCATGGCCAGCTAATTCTTGTTCTTCTCCTATGAATGATGGTTCAGGTGTTGTTCAATCACCTATTAATAAACAAACACCAGCTTCAGGTCAAGATGCTCTTTGTACAAATGGATCTGTTATTGGACTTAATAATGTTACTGTTGTTTTAAATCAAACAAATTGGCAAATTGAAATTGTTGGTGCGCAATCATCATATTTAGGTCCATTATCAATTTTATCTATAACTAATTCTTATCAAACATCAACTCAATCATCAACTATTACTATATTTCATCGCTCATTTTTTATTTATTTCATTTTATTTAGTTTTATTCTTTTACAACGAATTGTTTAAAATTATTCAAAATTTTATTCGAATTTTTGTTTATTTCTAAATAAATCTTTGTTCTAAAAATATCTTTTTATTAAGAAATTAATATTGTTTATTTATATATAATAAATTAAATCTTAAAAATAAATTAGAATTCAAAGATATTTTTGATATCTAATAATTATTTTATTTTTAACAAGAAACTCAATGTTTTACAGGATGTTTCATAAGTTTTGAGGCGCGACAAGTTTGTTTATCTGCAAACAAAGAATAATCTCTAACTGAATATATTTTATATGCACTTGAAGTACTCGTGACGGCCTTTCAAAGGACATAAAGTTCAATGACATCTTCTCTTGTAATATTTAAAAATACAGCCATGAGAATATAATGATAATTTTTTTCAAAATCGACCACGAATAAGAGTGTTTCACACATAACTGCTGATAAATAGTTAATGATATTTTTGATACTATTTATTGATGAAGACGGCTAAAATTTTTATCACATATATAATCAATCAAGATCTTTTTATATTCATTCCTTACTTGATGTCGATGTAAATCCACGACTATTCTTTATTGCTCCTACTACAAGGGTATAGGTGTAGATGCGAATGTGCGACAGCGCTGCTAACTGTACTCCATTTATGGATACAGTGTCCCATTTGGATTTTATTGAAATAAATCCTACAAGAATTGACATTTATGAGCCTTTTTTTTTATTTAAATATGATTATTTTTGTCATTTTTTGAGCAGAGTGTCTTGACTTTGGCTCAAATTAATTTCAAAATTGACAAAAATGAAGTTCTCAATATGATTAGCTCATAATAAAAGTGCCAAATATAAATATCTGAACAAAGTTTTCTTCGTCTAATAAAATTTTCAATATTTATATCTAAAGATAAAAAATGCTTGAAAAGCTTGTTAGTGTAGACCCCTTGGAACTGAAATTTGGGGCTCATGTATCTCTTTTAGCTTCATTATGTTAATACGAAATGCGCAAAATATAAAGTCTGTAGAAGATAATAGTTATTTTTCCAAGGATAATCTATTGCCAGAAAACGCTGTGTTTTTTTTATTTCCATATTTCGACTAGAAATTTTGTTTTATTGTCATAATTTATTATTATCAGTCAAACTGTTGATGTAATGAGCAAATACGCCTGTTGTACATATCCATCGTATTTACAAGAGATCTCAACGATCAAATATGTATCTCTATAAGCTTCGAAAGGCTGATATTTATTATTGTTGGAAGTTAGAACTAAATCAATTCATGCATTAAAATTGTTTATATAATAGTTAAATCAAATCAAAATGTCATTGTAGTCAATTAATCTTCAAAGAAGGTTCTAGAACGTTCTAAGCCGTCTTTAATCCAGAATGTTAAGATCTGCAAAGCACGAGGGAGCCGAAACAGCTCGGGTTTAAAACTTACGCTCACTATTTTCTTCGAACATATATGTTAATTTCACAAAATCTGATATATTCACAATAAACTGATCGAATCGAAAACATTTTTTAATGCAAAGTTTGACTTCAAAAGTCAATTCCGAAGCTGATGTCATGGAAATTACAATATTTTATTGACAAATTCACTAAAACTCATATAGATCAAGACGAAACATCCATAGACATGAATCCTTCGAGGCTTTCTCGAGTCTCAATAAGGCTTATGATATGAGCTAAGATTTATTATTGAAAAACTATGAATCAATTTGTGAGGCTCCCCCCATAAGATACCATCAAGACTAGACTGTATAATTTTCATCTCAGATACAAACAAAACGTATGATCCGGTCTATGTTAGTACATCGTTTATTTTCTTCTCTTACGAATCAACGCCATATCAAAAACTAAGAAAGAAAGATAACTCATAGTTGAACATTGCATAGTGGATATTTACTAAAAAAAATCTAGTAAAACTTTAAAAAGTCATACTTTCTTATATATGAATCTCTAGACTTGAGGTTCTTGATAAAATTAATTCGATATTCAATTACTCAGAAAAATACTTTACCTTGAATCATGTTTTATCTGTTTGATGATTTTTTTTTCTGAATTGTGTTACTAAATTCATTATTTCGACTATGTTCATAAACATTTATAATTATTCAACATATCGGATGTACTTGTCAATGGAAGCAGAATGTAGGAGTGATTTTGGTGAGATTGGTCATTTCTCTTTATGCATACACTCACATTCTCGAGCAGATTTTTCTTCATGCATCTGTTGAGAAAAATGAAAAAAAGGTCACATTTGTTCGCTTATGAAAATTAAAAAAAAAATGAATACACAAAGATGTAGTCGGTCGATATCGACATCAGAAAATGTTGGAAAGTTGTGACCACCGATGTGAAGAGAAAAACAGTCGCATCCCGCGTCACCTTTACAACACCCATAAGTGGATGTCGGTGTGAGTGAACAAAGATCCTAAACTGCATCATATGCATGAGCATTCACACCAATATTCATGCCTACACACTAGATTCTTGCTTAGAACATTTGTTACTCTTTATATCTATATCACTCTTGGAGACACTTGGTCGATTACTTCTTTTCACATCTTCAATACAAAAGAAGTCCCACGTGAATTCTCGAAAGTGAGATTAAATTAAAATTAAACAATGACAAGTAATTACACATTTAGCACTTCTCAAATGTTCTTTCAAAGAGTGTAGCAATCATATGACATCAAGTATGTGGTTTTCTTACTTATATCTATTTTATTGATTACTTGAGTCAATTAATAGTGCAATCTTTACTTTTCAATTAATCTGGATTCCGGAACTTGGCCAATAGGACATTCGCCAATGGCGAAAGTATACAATTGTTTATTTACAAACGTACAGTAGACCTTGACCAACCGTCATGAAACAATATTAATATAGGATAGATATGACGGAACTTAACGCTGTTACAACATACATAACCTAACTTATACTTACTAATCTAATCGATAGGCACTTTTTTTATCAACATTAAGTCCACTCTCAGGTAGGCGAAATCCCTGTAGTTTGTTAGCGAATGTACAGTGGACATTCGCAAGACGCAAATGTCCTATTGGCGAAGTTTCCGTCATCCAATTAATCAATATAAATATTCAAACATTACTTTTTGTTATTAAATAAAGTCTTTATCTTGTAATCAACTTTCATATCAAATTGTCATCGAAAACTGCAATAGAATGGTGACATCTATTGTTTACGCGAATATCCAATTGAACAAGTTGCATTTAGAAATGGCTACTAAACTAACTAATTTTCACTCAGTACTTCTAATAGTTCATGTATCAAGCGAAAACAAAATCTATAGAATATTATTTGCTTTTGATTTTCACATCGTTGTGTATTTAAGTTCACAACAGTGAAATGCATGAAGAATTTTTACTGAATAAAATAATATATTATTTTCAAGATTTGAAAATAAAAAGTTTATTTTGTTTTAGAATATATCATTTTTTTTTTCTTTAATGTATTATTTGAAAAAATTGTCATTTCATATTTAGATTGATGATATTTCATCGAATTCGATAAAAAGAATCTTTATATTTAACTTCAGTATAGAATCTACTTACATTTAATGGAAAAAAGATTTGAAATATTTTGTTGTCTTATTAAATTTTAATTTCAGTTTTTTGTTTTATGATTATCATAAATTCAGTATTTAATCGAAAATAAAGATTAGTTTATTTTTTTGTAAAAAGTTATTTAAAATTTTAATTTATAGATATTGTTTCTAAAAAATATTCAAAAGTTTTTGGATTTCATTTTACAAATGAAAATAAATATGTTTGTACAAATTCAAAAAGAAAATCATCTATTTCGATGTATATTTTTGTAACTTTGGAAAAAACAAAATGATAAAATTTGCAATGTATTTTTTAGATTAAGTTATGAATAGTTGTTTTTTTTCAATGGAACTAATTATTAATATTTTATAATACGGCATGAAATCTATTATTGATTTACTTATAAATACAATCATAATAGACAATGAGACTTATAGAACAGCAAATCAATGCTCAAGGATAAATTACATGGTTGCGTATATTCTTCTTTGATTTTTTTGTATTTAACTCTATTGTCAAATTAAATTTTAGATCAAAATGTCGTTCATCTAAAGTAATATCAATTATTAAAGTACTAAGACAAAAAAAAAAATATCACGATATAATGTTTTTTTTTATTGATTAATTATTGTTAAAAGTTAACGTAAAGCTTCAGAAAATACGATACATATGCCATAAAAGAAAACTTCTCATGAGGGAACATTTCCAACTGTCATATTGCTTTTGAATCGAGCGTATTTGCGCATCACGTAGACCCTAATGATCTATAAATACTCTGAAAAAAGTTCGTGCTGCTAGCTTATCATTACCGAGATATTGCATTTTTACTCTATGTTTAAGCAGAAAGACGTGGTTCCCCTCAGGAAAACTGAATTTCGACTTGAAACTTTGCATAAAGATAGGCCTTAATGAGAATAGTTTATTATGAAAGTTTCAGATCTTTTGATTGCTCCTAGTCTGAAATAAGAATATCGGAATCTGCTGGTGTATATCAGCGATTTTACCATAGCTATATCTTAGGATAGAAACAACGAAAAGATCTGAAACTTTCACAATAAACTATTCTCATTGAGGTCTATCTCTATACAAATTTTCAAGTCGAAATTCAATTTTCCTGAGGAGGACCACGACTATTTTTTCTTAAACATACAATAAAAATGCAATATCTCGGTAGTAATAAGCTAGCAACACGAAACTTTTTTTTCAGAGTATTCATAGATCATGATGCGCATTTACTCTCGACTCAAAAGCAATATGACAATTGAGAATGTTCCTTCGTTAATATGTAAAATCTATACAAATGTAATACTTAGCAAAGAATTATCACAAAATGTTTCATCATAAAAGCATTTACATGTTTGTGCTATAGTTTCTTCTATAACATCGTATGATGATCATTATCTCTTAGAAAAATATCTTTTTAAATTGCAAATATTTTCATATGTTATAA